TTAGACAACCGTTAAACGGCTTCAGTCATCCGTTAGAACAAATTGTGCAACCGTTAGAATGTGTTCTTCATCCATTAGGCATACTTAGTTAGCCGTTAGAACATTAGGAGAGAGCGTTAGAACGCTTTAATCATCCGTTAGGCACAATTAGATAACCGTTGGGACGTTAGGACAAAACGTTAGAATGCTGTGAAGGCCGTTAACTATCCGTTAGCTATCCGTCCGTTAGCGACCATTTAACGGATAAACGTTAAGGTACGTTTTCCCGTTCACGGCCACAAATTTGATTTCTCTTTGTGTAACCCTAAAGAAAACATTCAACATAGTGCTCCGTCAACAAAGTTGATCTAGCTCTGCTGTGAGTGACAGCTTAATTACAGTAGCATGCTACTTCAAATTTCATCCAAATTTATACTTTGGCATTCCTTTCTGATTGATTTCCTGAAGCAGCATGATTTTTTTTGTCATTTGGTTAACAAGTTATGAAGCCTCGACTGTGCTCTGTTCTGTTGTAAAGCATGCACGAAGCGGTAGAGCATGAAAAAAGTGTAGGGGGAAACACAAGACGTAGTCAAGTGTTTCTTCCTGCTTCTTGAGTGCCCTACTGCTACCTAAATTTGTTTATTTTGCTACGTGATTACAGTTTGTCAGACTGACTTGCAAAACTTGTTATTTTAGTACTGTTTTAACACTTCTGTTGTTCTGTTGTTAACAATGGCCTCCATGCAACTGTGTTTACTACAAACAAACAGCTCATTTCCATTGCGTTTGTCCAAGTCACAAGGAATGTTCAATTTGGGTCAAATTTGTCAAATTTCTGCTGTAAAAATTTGAAATTAAGCTTACTGTGCATCTGTACTCTGATACAGTGCGCATTATATGAAAACTTTATTCATAATAATTGTTATTAATGGTTTTTACAACAAGAAGGGGGCAAAAGAGTAGAAAAACATTGAGGACAACAACATTACAAATATTTACAAACTATTTACAAATAAACTTGTAAAAGAAAGTATTATAACATTATCAAGCAAATAACGAAAAAGCAGAATTGCAGCTCGCACAGTCACTGAAGTATGAACAATTATTATATAGTACCCTGTGTTAAGTTTTTACAAGAAGTAGGCCCAAGTAGATTGGAATTTGTTGAAAGTTGAAAGATGTAAAAGAAAGCTGTCAAAATCCAACTTGTTATTTCATAAGCTGGTACAAATCAAAGTGGCTGTGAGCCCCTGAACTTGGAAAATAAATTATGAAAGAGTGTTATGAGGCATTGTGCATGAAGGAACTACTTGTGATGTGAGGGCAGTATAGCTTTCGAACAAGCCCATAGAGCCTTTTCCCATTCAGGGGTGTGTTGTGATAGTTGCAAAATGAAAAAGTTCAGCATTAAGAAACTTTTTGTTACTCAGGCCTGCCTACATGTTTTACATTACATGTATCTGTACATGTCTTCCTTGTGCTGTAGTCAAAAACGGCAAGATCGTTTTGTTTGGTCAAAAGTGAGGTACAGACTGAGCAAAACACTTGAGCCTGCAGTACGTAAATAAAACATTAATACTTTTGCCTTTCGGTAACTTATGTACAAGTAGCTCAGTGTGATGGGCGCTGGCTCACCATGTGAGACATTGGGAGTTCGAGTAAACCTATACATTGAGCTCGAGAGACATAAGCTTGATCAAATTGATGGAGGAAACATAAGAACATCTCTACAGAAACGTATAGCTTTCTCGAAGTGAAGCTAAGGCATCTCTGAAGAAAAGCCGGACAAGGATAATTATGATATCCATGATAAGAATCTGCATACACTCTCTAATCAAACAGCTGGGTCTGGCACCACAATACAGAATGCAAGTAAGCAACGTATCTTTCCATATTTTGCCCCTCGAAAGCAAATATCTTGTAATAGAAATAAGTCTAACCAATGCATAAGCACATGGCAAACGACTGAGGTGTCAACATGCACATAACAGTGGATTGGTTCTTTCAAAACAAAGGCTAACCGCCAGCGAACAGAAGTGACCGGTCCGTTGAAAGTTTAGAGGTTTATTTGTTGAACAGTAAACAGACAGACTGTTTATACATGTAGTGTACAAAGTCAAAATCAAATCTCTCAGAATGTCAGCTGTCTTTCTTTTAAGTCAAAGGAAAATAGCATATAGATGGGGAATCTGGGAAACAGATTGTTTACATTGGTTATTGTGACATGAAACACAACACATGAGATTGATTGAGCACCAAATGAAATACCATTGAACAGAAAAGAGATGTGATGGTTAAAAGTGTTGTTTTAACGTACTTTGCATGCTTGCCTGGTACTTAATTTGGGCAATTCGTGCCACAAATTTTATATATTATATCTGGAGAAGTAATTGCTCATATTTGCACATTTAAAAATGATTGTATGAAGATTTGCTCTAAAATATTTTCAAACTGAAAGAATGAAAGGAATTCCTGTAATATGATATTTAAATAGGTGTGTTGAAAACCTTAACATTTTGCCTTTTGCCATATAACTAAAAAAGAAATACTTTTACTTTAAAGAACTTTGGCAATTGAATAGATATGACTGGAACCTATAATAATTATTTTGTGGGAGTACACCATTGAAAGGTTATAGGAAAAAGTATATGTCCAGGAATATACTCATGCCAAATTCAGGATGCCGCTATGGATTTCATTTTTTGAAGGCATTTGATGTACTCGCACAAAAGTTTCGTCCGTGTATGTAGAGTGTGAACTAAAATCAGTGTAAAATGCGGTTGACGGGCCCACAAGACTCCTACAGTTTGTGGCATTTGTACATTTGCTGTTCTTTTTAACTTGGAAAATATTATTTTCCAAGTTGTAGTGGTGAAGCGATTTCACACCATCACTCCTTCACTCCTATACTTCCTGTTACATGGTTCGCACGGGCCTTGAATAGTCCTTGAAAAAGCATCAACCCCTTGAAAAGTCCTTGAAAATTGAAAAATTTGCTCAAGTCCTTGAAAAGTCCTTGAATTTTCTCCAGAAGTCCTTGAATC